CCTCCAGGCCTTCCGCAAAGCCCTTAAAACCTGGCTGTTCCGACAGGCCTGGGGCTAAAGAGCTTTTCCCCCCCTCGAATGGTATGGTTGTCGTGTGCTTTTAAATTGTGTATTGTTATGTTTGTCTTTTTTATCCCTTGTCTGTACCCCTTCCCTGACTTGGATTGTGAGCCGCCCTGAGTCCCCTTCGGGGAAAAGGGCGGCATATAAATGCAATAAATTCCAATTCCAATTCCAATTTCCGTTAAAATAAAATAAAAAACCAAAACCAATGTGATCATAGCAGAAAACAGAATAAATACAAAAATATATAATTCTTAAAGCTGACCAAGGTGATCCTGAAGGCCAGGAGAAACTTTCTTACTCTTCCTTCCTTATTTGAGGTTGAGAGGATTTAGTATCCTCAGATTTTGAGTTGAAATTTCCTATTCAACCGTTGTGTGGTTGGTTTTATTTGAGTGCGTGCTATTAAACCAACTGTTGGGCTTTTTCAACGAATACGATGAAAATGAGGGTGGGTTTCCATGATGTCTGAATCCAGTCATTGTTTGAGTTTTCCTGGTGAGCACTTTTGAAGAGGGATTTTCCTACAATTATTTATAAACATTTGATTTCCTTTTTAAAAGTATTACTGTCTCCAATTATGCATTCCTAATTAGCAGCATGCGGGGGGGGGGGGAAGCAGTTTTTGTCCCCTGGGAGCAGTCAATTATATTATCACCATTCCAAAATGGCTTTCCTGTGTTTATTTAAGGAAAACATTTGTAATTTCCAAAGCCATGCTTTGGAGATCTCGGATTCAGGAGGGAAAAGGATCCCAGGCATTCGAGTATTCAAATATCTGTTTGGGGCTATTTTTAAAGGCAAGCACCTACATTATTCCTTCAAATCAATACCTAACAGCTGCTATGGGGATGGCTGTTGCCATGGGTTACGGAAAGGCACATGGCAACAATGGCCTTTAATGTCACATCCTCCCTTGAGATTGAGACTCTCTGGAGAACTTACCTTGTCTTTCTCCCCTGCCCCAATTATTCACGTGGACTTTGCCACTCTTCAGAATCACAAGTAGATGTTGCTGGGTTCTGGCAATACATGAAGAATGCCACCTCGCTCCTTGGCATGAAAAGGACCACAATGGTCAGAAGCACTTCTTAGTGGAACATTTCAATGTGGATATTATGAGGGGCAGCCTGGGTCTTGCTTCCTATTTTCAAGAGATAAAACTCCAAGATTATTTTGAAATTGTCTCTCATGGATATGTCAGATGGATTCTGCCTTTCTCGAGGAGCTCAGAGCAACAAGCATATCTGTTCTGACCCCCCCCNGTTGGGGGTGATATGCTGACTCTGTAAACCGCTTAGAGAGGGCTGAAAGCCCTATGAAGCGGTATATAAGTCTAACTGCTATTGCTATTGCTAACGGAGGGGGGCAAGGGGAAAGTTTTGCCTGAACAAAACCAAAAGGAGTTTTCTCGGCTCCATCTTTTCTGTTTAAAATGCCTTCTCAGGGGTTGTGTGGGAGAGACTGACAGGAACCGAGAGAGAGTAACCATTGACATATGGAGCTTGGAAAAAGAGAGGAGAATGAAATTTAGGGAGGGATTTTGGATGAAGACCCCCCAAAGGCTCTAGGAAGGTGGAGAACATCCCAGGTCTGGAGAGCAGAGTGGAACTTCAGGTCAATGGAGGGGTTAATGGAGTTTTCTGGAGTATGGAGATGAAGGAGGGGATGCTGGATTGAGACTCAGTATCTCTAGGGAAAAGATTAAATTGCCTCCCAGCTAGATGTTAGAAAGCTGGTTGCTTACCTTTAAAATAAAGTAAGCTTTTACTTCTTTAATTGGCTTTGCCTTATTATCATTGCAACAACACAAAATTTGACTACTGCATGAATGGCAGCTGGATTCAAGTCCCAAAGAAGATGGTTCACAGATAAATTATCTAGTCTTCCTAGAAATCTCTCTAATAGATGGAGAATCTATGCTGATCTGATGTCCCTGAAGAATCTGCAGTGAGAGAAGACATGTGAGATCTCTCTCTCCCCCACCCCATGACAACACTGTAACAAGTTAGTGAAAACTTGGGGAAGCTTTGACATTTGAGTTCAATGTTGATTGAGTTCAACCAGCTTTGTCCTATTCCACAAGAAGCCCATCCCCTTTGAATTTAAGACCACCATTGAACCAAGATTATGCAGGTTGCCTTCTAATATCCCCAAACAGCACCGTGCCAGATTCCTTGATGTTTCTCATTTCTTTTTGTTTATTACACCATCACATTTCACATAGACTCATTTCACAAGGGCACTCGTGCCCTTGTGACCTCTAGNATTTCATTTTTCTGGGAGAGGGATGGGTGATAACTTCCTACAGTCCAGAAAAATTGCAGACTACAGGAACCACTTGCACTTCAGTTTGAGATTTAGACAACAAAGACTCAACCCCAAGAAAGTTGCCTCTTGAAAAAAAGCACCTTTGGGCCAAGAATAGAAACTAGGCAATGTTTTTCTACCCTCTGGTGTTTCATTGCCATGCACTCTGCCTGCAATAAAAGGCAATATCCAACAATGTTAAATGTGATTACGGTGAGTCTCAATATTTTCAGTGGCAATCTCAATTTTTATTTTCTTAACTGGATGAGTAAGTATGTTTGATATCTATAGTTGTATTTTATATACCTTTCTTGCAAAGCCCAAATGCAGCACACTTCATACTGTTTTGCAATAAAATAAATTATAGGCAAAATTAAGCCGATATTTCCTTGGTTACTTATTAACCACAGTTCATTTAACAGAATCAATATTTCCAGCAAAGAAGTAAACATGGACCACATCACCCTATCTTTTTTTTTCTTTTACTTTTTATAGCCGGATAGATAAATAATAAAATAAAATAATAAAATGCATAGTCTTGGAAACCAGTAGAGAATAAGAAACAGTGCCTGTTATCTCCAGGATATGCAAAGCACATTTTATTTTTCCTTTTATCTCTCCAATTTTATGTTGATCCCATACATATAGATTGATTTTGCACAGGTAGATAATGAAAAGTCAAGGGGGAAAATTTACACAACGGCACTCAGGATCTCAGCTCTCTATTGGTATATAAATTGGTTTATTATTTCATTCTCTTAAAGAGGGCCATTCACACCAGGGAGCATTTTAAAATATAGCATGTTTAAACATAAATCCATTTACCATTCATATCCCCCTTTTTCCTTTGTTATTCCCACACCATTTGCAAAGTTAATTTTGCAAAGATATGTATGAGTAAATATAATCTTGCTTTTCCCTAACTTGCTCATTTCATCCCCTTGTTCCTACAGTTAAGGCTATAATATGGAATTTCTGAAATGACGACAGGGACAATTCCAAGCCCAGAACACGTCAGTGTTTCTGTTTTTGTTTGATGATACCTTGTGAACTGTTCAGAATTCACCGTAAGTGATTTATATTTAGCCAATGTAACCTATAGCTAGGCTGGCAATTTCAGCAGAAAAAAAGCAGCAGGGTATGTGAAAAAAAAAGTGGGAGGAGGGGGGGGGTTAGGGGAAAAAGAATAAAAAAGAGGAAACATTATTGATAAACATATTCTGGACATTTGGTGCACATTTTGACTGCTGCAGCTTAAAGCAATTAAATCACGATACTGACATTAACTCTCTAGTATGTTGACAGCTTGGAGCTGGAAGTAAAAATGCTAGTTCTCCAGGGAAAAGGGAAGGCTAGTTGGCTCCTTTTCTGGACTGTTTGCTTATAGGCCCAGAGAGCAATCTTCCTTGCAGAATGAAATGCAAGGGCACAAACAATGTGCCGGGGAGAGAATAGAAGATGGGAATGAACAGTTTGAACTATTTGCTCAGCAGAAGGGCAGCCACAATTGCTGGCCAATGGCTTTCCCATGCATCAGCCTCCTTTGTTGTGATAGTTCTTCCTCCAGCCAGATAAGAACACAGCTGCAGCTATTCCAGCTAACTTGGGGTGTGGGTTTATTCACTAAAGCCTCCATTCATGTTTACTGTATTTATTTGCTGTCAAGGGTTCAGGCACATTTTTTTTGAAAAATAGATTTAGTATTTTCCACATCCCATTCCCAGATCTCAAGCCAAATTCTGTCGAAATTTTAAACACCCCACCAGGAATCAGCTATTTTGATGAACAGTTCCTTTTTTCCAACACAATGGAAGAAGTCAGACTGAAAACACTTAAAGAATGTTCTACTCTTTAGGTTCAACTGATTTTAATAGCTTAGTACTGCACAATCTCCCCCCCCCCCTTGTATTTACATAGATTTTGCTTTCTTGGGAGTTATATCAATTCGTCATTGCATGTTTATTCAGAAATCAATTGTTTCAGTGGTGTTTACAGCCAAATAAATATATTTAGCATTGAGAATTTAAAGCTTTCAGTCATTTTTCAGTGCTGGAAGGGCAGTTCTGTATGTGGGTTAGAACACACAGGTATAATGATTCAAATATGTAAAAAATGATAGCATCAAATATGACAAGTTCTATATGTATATGTATAAAAGCCAATATTCGCTAATAAAGAATATATATTATATTATATTACCTGATTCATTCTGGAGTTCACAGTATATCAATATATTGTGAATATGATAAAATAATGCACATAGTTTGCTATGGGAAATTTGTGATTTTTTTATTTCTTGAAAATGAAGTATCATTATTTACATAAATGTTGATTCCTTCTGAAACAGGCAGCACGCCAGCAATAAGTTTCTACGTTACCTTACAAATGCACTTACATTTACTTTAGAGTGATTGATGTATTTTACCTTTTAATCATTTAATTCTATGAGCCTTTGTATCACTATTACAAATTACAAGCATTAAATACTTATGATAGTGTTGTTAATGCAAAGCTTTATTTCTATATTTATAAATTAAGGACTGTTTTAACATTAAAAGTTAAAACAAGAGCACGATGAAAGCCTGAATATCATTCACAGGAAATGCAGTCACATGCAGTAGACATTTTGGTGAGTAACAATAAAAGTTAATAAAAAAATAGGGCCTGAGCATCCTATTTGGGATGGAGGAATATTAATGAAAGTAATGATCCATTGTGCAAAATGCACATTTTTGCCATTGCCTTTAATTAAATGGATTCCAGAAAGATTTGTGTTAATGCTTACTGCAAGTGTACTTTGAAAAAGTTATTTAAATGCTTCTGAATCACTGATCTTAAAACATTTTGCAGCTATATTTATTGCAAGATATAGCATAAACAAAAATAGCACGTTTCTGCTTCAGTTCCAAATGCTTATGTTTCTATGTATGTTTGAATTTTGTTTAAATTTAAAAACCATGCTTTTTTTTCTCTCTAAAAACTTCTTTGGTCAAAATATTAGTGTAAATGAGATGTAGCAATTACCTAATGTGAAAATACATATTGAAATGTGTGTGTGTGGGGGGGGAGAGGATCAGCATCACAGAATGATTTGTTGTGATCATGTTGAACATGTCAGTAAAGGATCAGCCCCATAGGAAATACAAAGTTTACACAGTTTTTTTTTCCAGAGTGAAATTGCCCTAACCTCAGGGATTTTTCTTCTACTGGGTGGTCAGGAGGAAAGGCTGAAAGGCAAAGGGGCTCCTATTGTCTCAGCTGAATCCTAAGAGCTGACCTCACGTGCCTCTAAAAAGAAGAAAGCACCTGTTTATCTCCAGTTATCCCCTGCTTTGGTGAGCCTCCATGCTGCCACCACCAAGACAGAGCCTTCTGCTAGGGAAAAAAGAAGTGTCCCTTAAAAGTGTTTTGAAAAACTCTTCAGCCTGGATCCAGTTACAGATCTGCACAACAATGCATGGAGATCTCAAGGCTGACTTGGGATGCTCATTTATAACACTGCTGGAAATGCTTAGCTCACCCATAGCAGGAAATGTGAATAGGAGCTATATAGAAGATCCAGATGCATAGGTGTGTGTGTGTGTGTGGTATAGTCACCTAATATTTCCCGTGGCACGACAAAACCACGGTCCACTAAAGCGCGCCCGATTAAAGCGCGTACCTGACGTCATCAGCAGCNGACTCAACTCACAGCAAACTTCTGCTGAGTCACAACACATATCAATTATCTGATTTGACATCCACAACAGCCCTGCAAAGTAGATACGTCTACAAGAGGAAAACTGGTGAAGCAGAAGATGAATATCTGCTCCAGATTCCATTAATACACCTTTGATCCCATTATGGAATATGATGCAACATGAATTGTGTGTGATGTATGGTAGCTGTGAGAGTCATGTCAGTTTTCCTCCTGAAATGATAAGCGATGGACAGCAGTTTCAGAGCAGGAGTGGGGAAAGGGAAGGCAAATAATTCCTGAAGGTCCACTGGGAACAAAAGTGCCTGAGCTTTGAGTTTTTATTGAAAAAAATAAAGACAAAAACAGATGGGAAAGTATATATTGGAAAGTGTATATTTAATGTGCCAGACATCACCATCAAACGTTTAATTTATCCCATAGTAATAATACATCGGTAGATTCCTTTCACCAAGAGTCCTATGAATTTCTCTCCTGCTTCCTCCAAGACTTTATTTATTGATACGATCAATAATTTAGAGAAATCCTATTTTAAAACGCTGACAGCAGAATTTTGCCCAGAGGTTTTCCCATTAGGAATCTCATGTTGTTTCGAAACACCCCTCTCCCCACCAATGCACACAGATATGAATGAATATTAAAGTATCTAAATAGGATGTCTTTTAAGGGAATAAATATTTTAGGTGGCAATCGTATTGATCTGCCTGGGAGTAAACCCCACTAATCTTAATGGAGCTTTACTTCTGATTAGATGTGTAGGACTGCATTGTTAACAGTAATAGTGCAGTGGTTATTCTTGAGGCAATGAATGATTGCAGGGCAATCTTGAATCTTGATGTCAAAATCATTGAACCACCGTTCTAGACTGGTGCAAGGGTTTCACTCTGTAAACACATTCTCTTCGAAGAATCCCACATCAGCCAGATTCAGCCAACAATGCCACTCAACACCAATGATCTTTGGGTTCCACCACAAATGCGCGAACGACAAAAGCGCGCCTGACGAAACCGCGGTGACAAAACCGCGGTGACAAAACCGCGCTGACGAATGACTGCGTCGACAAAACCGCGCCGACGAATGACCGCTGAAGCG